CCATGGGAAAGTGAAGCGGCGGGGGAGCGGGAGAGGAGGTGCGAGGACGGAAGGGGGCGTGCTCCGGGCAGGGGGCCCCCGGCCAACCCCTGCCGAGGCAGGCGGGGGCCGGGTTGTGGGCCCCGTCTTTGAGACACCGTGGAGGCCGCGAGCAGTGAGGGGGGCCAGTGTGGCCTAGCGAGCATATCTGACAAAGGAAGAGAGAAAGGAAATAGGACGGTTTTTATTCGCAGATCCTGCACCCCCATGAAGATGTTTGCCACTTGGTACCACCTCCGCCAGGGACAGGGGAGGCCCCCACCTGCACCCCGGTGGGGGAGACGGGAGCGGTCACTGCCAGCCGCTGCACCAGTCACCTCCCACAAAAGGAGTCCGGCGCCTTCGAGGAGCAGAGCGCTGACACTCCAGGGTCCTTGGAGGGTGACTGACGCTCGAGGCGAAGGCAGATGGGAGGAGAGCGGGGAGAGGCCAGTGTGCGGAAGGGCAGGGAACCTGCGCGGCGCCGACCTCCGGTTACGGCCACGGGGCGCCGGGGAGCATAAAGGCGCTTTGTGGAGAAGCCCTCTGACCCAGTTCTGGCCCTCGCTGTCTGAGCTTTCCACTCACCGCCTGTTAATTAATTTACAGGCGGGCACAGAGGGGGTGCCCCGGATCTTTGGCCAAACCAAAGCGGAGCCTCGGTGAGAAGTTTTAGCCCCCGCCTGAGTGGCGAGGGGTCGGAGGGATCTGCATGGGGGTGACTCGTCCGTCGGGCCTGGTTTTCCAAAGCACCTGAGGAGGAGAGCAGAGGCTGTGGGAGCCGCGAGGTGGCCCGTCCCTGGGGACCAGGGGCCGCCTGCCCTGCTCCTTGCTGCCACACTGAAGCCTCTGGCTGGCAACACACCCTCTCTGCTCCTTCCAAGAGGCATGTCAGAAATTCTTGGGAATTTCCCGTCCCAACCCGACTTACCCTAATAATCGGCAAAGAGTGGGAGGCCTTCACTGTCAGGCCGAGCTGTGGAAAACCTTGAGGGGAGAGCAGGTCCGGCGGCGCTGCTGGACGCGGGGAGGGAAATGAGGAAGGGCCTGCCTGGGGCGCGGTGGGTTGCACGACCGGACTGTGCCCAGTTTCGCCTGGCCAAGGGCCTGGACTGAGAGCTGGCGAAGCAGAAAGGCGAAGGCATGAAAGCTGCCGCGGAAGTCCGGACACTGGCTGGGAAGGCGGAGGGGCTGGGTGTGGGGCTGCAGAAGGTCTTCAGAAGTGACGCTCGGTCAGCGGGGGTCCCAGGGCATGACCCCGACGACTCTGCAAAGGCAGGTGCCTCCTGAAGACCGGCCCGAGTTTTCACAGCTCCCCCAGGGTTTCCCAACCCTCCCGGGGCCCCAGAATCTCATGGTGCCTTCAGTGACGGCTCAGTTCCCATAAATGGGATGGTTTGGGGCGCAGGAAAGTGTCATGGGACAGGCATAAAAGGAAGCGTGGGGCAGGGAAGAGGCTCTGGCTGGGGCGTCTGGGCACCACAAGCACAGAAAGAGGCCTCACCATGCCCCCTCTCCGCTGCACCCAGCACGGGCCTGCGGGGCGGCTCACGCAGGTCTCTAGGGCTGGCCGCGGGTCTGGGCCGTGGGGGCACCGGACTGACAGGCCCCGCTGCCCACAGAGCCACTGCAGAAGGGTCTGGACCCGCTGGCGGGAGGGAGAGACAAAGTGGAGAGAGGAAGCAGGGCCAGGAAGGGGAGGCGGCAGCTAGCCATTAAGCCCTGACTGCAGCTGTAAGTGGCCCATGGGAGGGGCTGGGGGTGGGGGGACTGTTGTGTTGAGTGGGGCCCGGCAGGGGTGCCCTCCAGGTTCTTCTGTGATTCAGAAAGCTCAGAAATATTAACATTTGTTAACGAAAGTGATAAGTATTTTTCATGTGTACCTTGCTCTTCTCTACTTTTCCGTATATTTGAGATTTTTCAAAATAAAAATCGGTCAAAGGCCAGGGTTCCATGGAGGCGGGGGAGACCCAGTGGCTAGTGGATGAGCAGCACCCAGGTTCTCACTGCAGGAAGGCAGAAGAGTCAGGAGGAGGGGAGGGGAGGGGAGGGACTCCTGGTCCCCAGGACACAGTGCACAGCTTGGGGGACGGGCCTGCTGCTGTCCCAGGTGGCCTCTGAGTCAGGGGCACCCCCGCAGGAAGGCAGGGGTCAGACCCAGGACCCAATACAGGCCCTGCCAGGCTCAAGGCCAGGATCTCCCGGCGCAGCCGCCGGGGTGCTCCCTCCTCCCCCTTGCGCAACCTCCGGGAAGCCTTCCTTATGAGCACGGAGTCCCGTTCCTTCTTCCTCATCAGACTCGGAGCCCCCGGGGCACAGGCTCCTGCACCGGCCCTTCCGTGCACAATTCTACCTCTGCTCACGTGCCTGCCCTGTGTGCTGGGCTCAGGGCTCAGCATCCAGAGGGCCCCTGGCGGAAGCCCGGCCAGGCCCCACCTGACTTCTCCTGCAGGTGCTGTGTCCACACTGGCCTGCTACTGCACCAGCTGGTCCCAGTATCGCCAGGGGGCCGGCAGCTGCTTCCCAGATGCCATCGACCCCTTCCTCTGCACCCACATCACCTACAGCTTTGCCAGCATCAGCAACAACAAGATTGACACCTGGGAGTGGAACCATGTGACCCTGTATCACACGCTGAACACACTCAAGAACAGGTTGGGCCCAGGGCTGGCGGGGCAGGAGGCAGATGGAGGGTCGGCCGCACCCCTGCTCCAGAGCCTGGCCAAGGGCCCCCTGCACCTGCCTCTGTGTAGAGACTCTGAGGCCTCAGCTGAGGTGGGAGCAGGTGGGGAGGGCGGTGCTGGGGGGGAGGGTGGAGGCGGCTGCGCACAGGGAGCCCGCCTCTCCCTGAGGTGTCTCTCCACCGGGCGTGGGTGGTACCTGCAGCCGTTTCTCTGTGTCCTGGCTTCCTCGGGGCGGAGGGGCACAGAAACGGGAGACGAGCCTCAGGCTGGGAGGCTGCATTTCGGGCCGGAAGGGCCTCAGAGGCTGAACGTGGGGCCACCCAACTTCCCGCCCCCTCGCACCCCGCAGGAACCCGGCCCTGAAGACCCTCTTGTCAGTTGGAGGGTGGAACTTCGGTTCTCAAAGGTAGGACCCGCTGCCCAGAGGGTGATGGCGCAGGAGTGGGGAGGCACAGCTGTCCCCGCACTCGAGGAAGGAGGGTCTGGGGCCCCCGCTTGGTTAGGCCATGGCCTCGAGCCCAAGAGAGACAACTGAGCCACAGTGACAGGGGCTTCAGAGCGTCACACGGCCACGGCCCATGGATCTCCTGGCTCCGTTCACGGCCTCTCACCCTGGCAGCACAGGATTTCTGGCCACCCAACCTCTGCCACCTCTGGGTCCAGACAGAGAGGGAGGCAAAGAATGGGAAACGCGGGGACGGAGGCCCTGGGAGGATGCCCAGGAGTGGGTGGAGCCGGAGCCGGGCTTCCTGGGGCGGTGGGCGGGGCGGTGGGCGTGGCCTCCCGAACTCCCGTGTTCTGAGCATCACTGTCAGGCACCCTTCCAGCCCTTGTCCTAGGTGACCCTCACAGCGGCCCTGGGATACTTATTGCGCGTACCCCCCACTTTGCAGACAAGATACCTGGGACTCAGGCTATAATCTGTGCGGGGGGCTTGACCAGTAGGTGACTAAACTCGGCGTGGAAACCAGGAGCGTTGGGCTCCAAAGCCCACGCTGAGAAGTGTTGCTCCCGCGTCTGCCGGGGCACGGCCTCCCTGCTCCTCATGCACAGAAGCCCCTCTGCCGGGCCACCGCCCCCAGCAGTACAGCGCTAAGCACTCTTCTGGGGTGATCGTCCTCCCAGATTTTCCGAAATAACCTCCAACACCCAGCGTCACAGGACCTTCATCAGATCGGTGCCCCCGTTCCTGAGGACACACAGCTTTGATGGGCTGGACCTCGCCTGGCTCTACCCTGGACGGAGGGACAAGCGGCATCTCACCACTCTGGTCAAGGCGCTGGTCGGCTCTGGGACGGGCAGGGAGGTGGGTGGGTAGCAGGAGCGGGTGGACAGAAGCTGTCTGTCCCAATGTCCTCCTGACAGCGGGTGAGCGGGACTGAGGCCCCCAGACCTCAGGGTCCTGGGACCCAGTCCAGAGTGAACACCACAGGCCAGAGCCGAGACGTCCCGGAGCAGGGAGCCCTTCTGTGAACACAGCGGCTGGTGAGGTGAGGCCCTGGGAAGCAGCAGGTCACTGGACAGGGCGCCCACCCAGAGAGTGGGGGGTCACTGCCCCTGCTCAGTCCCAAAGCCATGTGCTGCGTCAGGGACACTCAGCCACATGTGGGCAGCTCCAGTTACCCCAGGGGCGGAGTGACTGTCCCCAGCAGCAGTACGGCCACTTTCGTTCTGTGGCCTTGTGTGCCAGCTGTGACAAGGCAGAGACCGGGGCAGACTTCCTCCAGCATCAGCTCCAGTCCCACGGGGTCTCCTCCCCAGCACAGGGTGGCAGGGGCGACGCTGAGCAGAGACGAGGAGGGAGACAGAACGAGGCCACGAAGTCGTGTGGCGGAGAGAAGGCCGAGCCTGAGGACGGGCCTGTCCTGCCGCTGAGCCCCACAGGTCGGGTCCCAGCGCGGGAGGCCGGGAGGTGCTCACGGCCTGGCCAGCCCCGAGCACCACCCTCCACTCCTCAGTCAGCCTGCAAGGCAGGGGTCAGGGCCACGTCCCACCTGAGGACGCTGAGGCCAGAGCCACGGGGTTCCCGGACGTCCGGGAACAGAGGAAGCCAGGCCTCTTCTGCAGGCCGCGCAGGCAGCAGGGGACGAGAGCGCGGCTGGGCTGAGCCGGCCACCCGACCTCTGCAACGGTCACCCAGTGACACACCCTCCCAGTGCCCGGGGGCATTTTGACAGGGAGACTGGGGACACTTCAGACCGAGGTGACGTGCTCCCACAAGGGAGGGAGCCCCAGGAAGCTGCAGGGACAGAGTAGCCTTCGCAAGCCTAACGGCTCCACTGTCCCCCGTCCCCCCAGGACTACGCTGCGGGCTACGTGCTAAGGCTGGGGGTCCCTGCGAAAAAGCTGCTGATGGGCAGCCCACCTTGGGAGGAGCTTCACGCTGGCCTCTTCTGAGACGGGTGTGGGGGCCCCTCAGCTCGGGGCCGGGGACACCAGGCCAGTTCACCCAGGAGGCAGGGATGCTCGCCTACTATGAGGTATGTCCTGGGGAGAAGGCGGGCCTCCCACCCCACCTTCTTCTGCTCTCCCCTGGAAAAAAAATAATGTTCCAGGGGACCAGCCCCACAGGATGCGGGGGAGTGGGGTGAAGCACACACTGTCTGCCTCTGGCCACCAGTCCTGGGGCCACACAACTTGGGGACATTGACATCTGTTTTACACGAGCTTTTGGAAAAGCAGCAGTGGGGGGCGGGTGCCACCGTAGCCTGTGGGCCTGAGAGGGACTCGAGGAACTGCACCCCATGACCTGCGGTCTCAGCGCCGCCCCCACACCCCCTGCTCTGCTCTCCGCTCAGATCTGCGACTTTCTTCGAGGAGTCTCTTTCTGGCCAGCAGGTCCCCTAGGCCACCAAGGGCAACCAGAGGGTGGGGTACGACGACCAGGAGAGCATCGAAACCAAGGTAGGACCCCGGCCACATCCCAGAGTGAAGAGGGAGAGGAGGACCTGCAGGGCTGAGTGACCCGAAGTGTCCCCCACAGGGAAGGGCCCAGACAGCAGGCTCCACCCGAACCCAGCCCTGCCCCTGCCCGCCCCCGCCCACCCCCCGTCAGGTGTGGTGCCTGAGGAGCAGGGAGCTGTGGGCTTGCAGCTGGGGCCACGGTGTGGGCCCTGGACTCGGACAACCTCGGGCCCTTCTGAGGCCAGAACCTGCACTTCCCGCTCACAAGGGCCATCAAGGCTGCCCTCGATGTGGCTTAGTGCTCCGCCCTCCAGCACACCCAGGGCAGGGTGCCCCTCGAGCTGCAGTCTTGCTGCTCAGGGGCCCGGTCAGTTGCCCTGCTGAGCCTCATCTCCTCCCCTGGGCCCAAGGAGAGGCCACAGCTCTGAGCTCAGCTACATGGACAGGCAGGTGGCCGTGGGCTGTGGGGCAGTGAGGGTTGGGGACCCACAGTGTCAGATGAGGCACAGACCACAAGTGAAAGTGCTTGTGATCCCGAGCCCAGCTCCCTCCCTGGGCACCCTGTCCGAGGCCACCCAGCACCAGGCTTTGTCCAGGAAGTGGTGACCACGCCCTCCGCCAAGTGCACCTTCCGACCTGCAGCCACAGCGTCCTCATGTCTTCCCTCCTGGTTCCACAGCTGCTCAATAAAGTGCCAGGGCTCCAGCCTGCGGGGCTCCCCCCAGTCTGTCTCGGAGGCCCATCGGCCTCACCGCCCCCGTCGCTTCTGGGCTCCTCTCCCCCAGGCGCGGGGGGCCTGAGCTTGCAGAAGGGACACAGAGTCCCAAAGGGAGGCCAGCCCCAGCCCCAGCCCCTCCCCTCTCCTCGGACACTCTCAGCAGCAACCAAGGCTCCTCCTCACAGGCCGGCCCGGGGCACGTGGTGGGCAGCACAAGAATGGGGGATGGCTTGCCTGGCGTCCAGAGTCCAGCTGCAGCCTGGGACCCAGGGACCTCGTTTGTGCAGTTTGGGCTCTGGGACCTGGCCTCGTGGTTCTGGAGACCTGTTTGAGGGGCAGGGAGAGAAATGCCCATGGGCTGCCCTGAAATCTGAGTCTACTGAAGCCGGGCAGATGCAACTGGTCCCGAGGTCACGGCCTGGCCAAAGGCAAAGAGAGCGGGAACCTGGCCAGCACTTGGAGGGACGTGACATTCCGCAGCTGGCCAGTGGGGCCGAGCATTCCCTGGCCCCAGACTCCTGCCCACCCCCCCCACCCAAGGGTCTTTGAAAGCCCGGGGCTGCAAGCCCCCAGGCAGGCAGCCCACCACCCCAACCCCTTGGGGCCACCCTTCCCCGACTGGGACCGCTCGGCAGGGCTGACTCAGGGCTCCGAAGTTCGTCACATTCACTTATAGCTGCAGACTCAGAGAGCAGGGTGTGGATCGGGCCTCCAGGGCCCGCCCCTGCTCGGCAGGACACTGAGTCACCTGGCAGAGGCCACAGGCACTGGGGCCCCGCACGCCACTGCCCAGCAAGGGCAGCCAGGGGTGAGAGGCAGCCACGCTGCCGAGGCCTGGCTCCCGGGCCAGAGGCCGTGCCTGTGACTGAGGACCCTAAATAAATCACCTGCGTATTCATTTTTAAATCTCGGGACACATCATACACCCTGAAGCCAATGCAGAATGTGTGTTTTTAATGGGAAGAACGGCTGTACTGTGAAAACTTGTGCAAGTAGCACCCAGGACAGGAAATGAGGCTTCATCTGAGGTCCTGAAGCCCCGCCCCCAGGTGACCCCACCCTGGTCTCCCCGGTGGAGGTGCCACGTGGGCGCCTGCCCACCCTGCCTCTCAGGTGCTAGCGTGCTCCGTGCTCTCGGTCCACTGTGGAAGCTGCTCTTCCCCCCCAGTGTCGGCTACGGCAAATGACCCTGCCGTGCACGTCGTCAGTCCGTCCATACCCTGGTTAACGTGTGTGACAGCCCATGGGGCGTCACCATGGGTTCGGGGGGCGCATGCCGCACGTGCAGACCCCGTCTGTCACCAAAGGAACATCCCCGTTCACACCCCAGCGGCAGTGGGAGCCCAGGCGGCCCCCCTTCCCCCTGACCGCGTGGTGTTTCTCAGCTCCCTGAAGGGCCGCCCGCCCGAGTCTTCAGTGGATGAGGGAGCCAATGACTAGACTTTGTTCCTGTCCTGCACCTTTTTCTGCACTGCAAATGCCCTGCGGGCCCTGCTTCCAGGAGGTGGCCAGCGGCTCTCCCCAGGCCCCCCGCCACCGCTGCCTGGCTGACCCGACCCCACCCCAGAGCTAGGGCTCGGTCACTGTGTGCTCAGCAACCGGGGGGGATGCGGAGGTCCAGAGAGGCCTTTGCCAGCATCCCCAACAGAGGCGGTACCCACAGGCTGCAGACCCCTTCCCAGGATCCAATCAGGCCCCGGAAGGCCTTCCTCAGCCCCACCCTGGAATCCCAATTCCCTCCCTCTCCAGCCCTCAACCTCCTATAGCACCAGGGAGACCCCCGGGAAGGGGAGGGCCGGGGCCAAGGGCAGAGGCTCTCCGGGAAAGGCTGTTTCAGGCTGCCTGGGCCCCACCCCCAGCCCCAGGAACCCTGGGCGCACATGACCCCCGGGAGGCCAGCTGGGCCTGGTCTGGATTCACGCTCCAGATGGACACTCTCGCTCCCTCTGTCCTGACCCCTGGCACAAGCTCCTGGCCACGTCCCCTCTCACCCATCTGCGCCTTCCTCCCGTCTGGGCACCAGCACCCTGACCGCGGAGAGCCAGCCGGGGTGATGGACGACGCAGCGTGCTCCTCTAGGGACCCTGCAGTCCCTCCCCCAGAGCTATTCCTGGCCTGAATGCCTCCCCGCCCCCCGGTCCCCCCACCTGACCTGACCCCACAGCTGGGAGCCATTTGGCTGGGGGTGGGGCAGCCCTGCCTATATAAGCCAGGACCTAGGTGTCCCAGGCACCCCCGGAGGCCCAGACCCTCCACTGCTGACCTCTGCACACTCCAGCCAGACTCCCCCCCGGCCCAGCCATGACAGGAAAAGCCGCCTCAGAGGCCCCTGCTCCTGATCCGGAGGAGAACGCCTCCGAGGTGGCCCAGGTGCCCACAGAGCCCTCAGAGGAAGGGGCAGCGTCGCAGACGGTCACGCAGGAAGAGCAGGCTCCCACGGCAACGCCTCAGGCACCTGCCCCTGCAGCCGCTAAACCTGAGCCTCCAAGTGAAGGTGAGGAGAGGTGGGGCGCCCAGAGGGGCAGGCAGGCGCGGCCGGAGGGGGGCGCCTGGCCACCTTCCTCTCCCCTCCTCCCCCGCAGACCTGCCCAGCACCCCTCTGCTGCTGACCGTGGAGGACGTGAGCGACAGCTCGGTGACCGTGAGCTGGGAGCCCCCGGAGCAGCTGGGCAGGCTGGGCCTCCAGGGCTACCTGCTGGAGCTTCGCAGGGAGGGAGGTGAGCTGTGAGCGAGGCCCTGCGTGCCCCAGGGCGGGGGGGGGGGGGGTAGGAGGGTGGGCAGGCAGCAGGGACGAGCCCCTGATATGCTGTTGGCCGGTGGGGGAGGCACCTCCGAGAGAGTGGAGGCAGGGGATGTCTGAATGACTGTGGCAGGGGCTCGTCCCCCAGCTCCAGGGGGCTCCTGAGAGACGGCACAGAAGCCCAGGCCTGGGCGCTGCTCTGCAGGGGAGGGGTGGGGAGGCTGCGTCTCAGAAGACGCTGCTGGGGGGCGGGGCTGGGGGGCAGGGGACCGTGAGAGACAACGAGGACAAAGGGGACGGATTCCCGTGGTCCACTCCACGGCAGCCAAAGTCAGCCCGTGCTCCACCATGCACCCCACCTCCCATGTGACTCGGCAACGCGTCCCTCCTCCCTGAGCTTCAGCAGCCACACCTCGGGCCACCGCTCGGCTCTCACGCCAGGTGTCTTCAAAGCCAGTTTGCAAATAAGAGGCAGGGAAAGGGAGGGAGGGGAAACAGGCCCAGAGAGGGAGGTCAGCTTCTCCAGTCACCGGCGAGAAGGTAAGCCCAGCAGAGCAGGGTGCCCATGACCCCCAAGGCGGGGCCTCACACCCCCTGCCCCCTCAGCCTCGGAGTGGGTGCCCGTGAACACCCGGCCCGTGATGGTGACTCAGCAGACCCTGCGGAACCTGGCCCTGGGAGACAAGTTCTTCCTGCGCGTGGCTGCCGTGAGCTCTGCAGGGGCCGGCCCACCGGCTGTGCTGGACCAGCCTGTGCACATCCGCGAGATCGTAGGTAAACCTTTCGTCTCCGGCCCCGGCCCTTCCCAGGCACCTTATCTGATGGCCAGAGAAGCCCAGGGAACAGGGAACAGGGGCCATCACTCCCCCTCCCACACATGGTTGCACCAGCCACACTCTGCCACATTCCCGCCTTAAGAAAGTTCCAGGTTCCACCATCAGCCACTATACACATCTATAGATATTTATTTATAATTCACAAAAGAGTAGTTCTCAGACCAGCTTATTGTGAAAGAAAATAAAATTTCTAAAACAAAAAAAGTTCCAGGTTGCTCAGCAACAGCAGACCTCTGGAGGTGCAACAGGCCGGCCCCAAGTGTGGGGGGGCTTCCTGACCCCCCAGTTCACCTGCCGGTTCACCTGCCGGTGCTAATAGTTATTCCGTCCTTCCTCCTGCCTCATCTTCATCCCTCCAGTGGCCGTGAAAGCTCCCCTTCTACCCGTTCTCCACGTGCTCCATGGGGCCTGGGTTCCAGGCCTCCCAGAGGCTTGGGGACAGAGACACTGTCCCTCGATGTGCCTGGCGGGAGGGGAGACAAGGGCCCTCACAGGCCCGTGAAGGGTTCCCCATCCCCAGAGGGCAGTGCCGCCCTGGGGACCTGAGCTCGTGGCTGAGATGTCTATTTGCGGGTGCCGCCTCCCGGAGCCGGTCAGGTTTCAGTCCGCTAATGGCAGTGAGTCATTTGTTCTGATCCGAGGTCTCTGGGGATGGCCCAGGGCCCCAGTGAAGAGAGACACGGGCCAGCCTGTGGCCTGAGGCTTTCTGCACCTTCACCCCTGCTCCGCACCTCAACCCTCAGGGGGTACCCCACAGCTCTGAACAAGGCCTCCAGAAACCAGGGGGTTTGTGGCCACAGGAAGGGTCAAATTCCGTTTAAGGACACACATCTCAACTCCAGGGCCTGACGATGGGGGGTCCATGGGGAGCTCAGAGCCTTAGGCTGTCACGGTTGCTCAGGGACCCTCTGGAGGAGACATAGCCCAGAGCCAGACCCCCAGGACCGTTCGTGCCTGCCACACAGCAGGGCGTCTTCTCCGGGATTTTCAAAACCCGAGGATGTTCCCAGCCTTTCAGTCTGGGTGAGACAGGGTTGCACAGAAGGACACGCAGACCTCTTGCCGGGGCAGGTCCTGGAGTCTCCCCGAGGCCCAGGCTGCTCGGACTCCGAGGGCCGGCGAGGGCCCAGCCTCTCCTCCGAAGCCCGACGCTGACGGGCAGACTCGGCACCCACGACTCCATCGGAATTCCTCTGGCAGTGGACGAGGGGATTTCCTGGAGAGAAGAGGGGAGAGACTGTGAACTAACAGGGACCAGCCAGGCCCGCCTGGTGGGCAGGGCGGGGTGCGGGCCAGGCCAGGTTCCTCGGCTGCTCAGCTGTCTGTCCTCGGCCACCTGCAGCTGCCAAACATTCCACCCGAGGCTCCCGGAGCCCAGCGCCCACACGGCTAATCCTCGGAGACACCGTGTTCCTTCTCACTGTCTCCTTCCCTCCGCCCTGACAGCCGCCAACTGCGGCCACCTGTTTGCACTGAGAAGCCTCAGTCACCGCCAGCTCCACCCCCATGGGGGCAATTGGCTACTTCAGAGGGGGCACCCGGTGAGGTGCCGGCAGGCCGGGGGGGTCCTGCCCTTGCAGGGGCCGAAGTCAGGTTTCGGGAAGGCCTCCCCAGCTGTGGGGCCGGACAGGGGTGGGAAGGGAAACGGCCTGAGCCTCCATGTGACCTGGAGACAGACCACTGGGCGCCCGGGTCTCCCAGGGGCTTCTCGAAAGGCCCAGTGGGGGCGGAGGGGCTGCACCAGGAGGCCAAGGCTTGGCACTGCCCTCTGGGAATGCAGGCCGGCAGGCGCAAACCCCAGCCTGGCAAGGTCCGGGAGCCTAGGAATGCCGGGTGCTGCCCTCCCACACCGCGGAAGCCCCGCCTTCCTAGAGTCTCCGGGCTCTTGGTCCCCAGGGGCCTTCGGGCTGCAGGCCCCGGTCTCAGGAGGGAGCTTCACCCACCGGACAAGGAGGCGGCCCCAGAACACACCCAGGAGCCCGCCCGTCCTACCAGCAGCCCTCGCCAGTCAGCAGCCCCGCTGCTGTGCTGAGCGGAGACTCTTGCTTTGACGCAGAGCCCCCCAAGATCCGTGTGCCCCGCCACCTCCGCCAGACCTACATCCGAGAGGTGGGAGAGTCAATCAACCTGCAGATCCCCTTCCAGGTGTGTGTCTCCTGCCCAGGTACCTGCTCGGATGGGCCCCAGGGCCCCACCTGGGGTGGCCAGAAGAGCCCAGGAAGTGTCAGGGTACCCGTGGGGGCACCCTGGGACCCGCCCAGGTGGCCCCCCTCCCTCTGTCATGCACATTCTCCAACCCGGGACGGGGCAGTTTGGTCCCAGGGCTGGCTGGGCACCTGGGGTGAGGCCGTGCCCAGCCCTGTGGCTCCAGTCTCTGTGGCCGGTCCTGGGAGAGGCCAGTGGGGCAGCTCCCCGGACACAGCTCCAGAGACCCCAGAACTGGGGGGGCTGTCAGGGGCTGGCATCTCCTGTACACACTCTGGGGGCTCTTCCCTCCCAGGGGAATCCCAAGCCTCAGGCCTCCTGGACCCACGACGGCCACGCCCTGGACAGCCAGAGGGTGAGCGTGCACAGTGGGGACCAGGACTCCATCCTCTTCATCCGCTCGTCCCAGCGCTCCGACTCAGGCCGCTACGAACTCACCGTGCGGCTGGACACCCTGGAGGCCCGGGCAGCCATCGACATCCTGGTCACAGGTACGAGGCCAGGGAGGCTGGGCACCTCACCAGGGGGCGCAGAGACCCCCACCTCCCCCCGAGTGGATGCTCAGACAGGCGGACCAGGGGAGGGTCCTGGGAACAAGGCGAGGGGGTGTGCAGCGAAGCCGGCCGTCCGCCTCACCCCGACACCGGGCCCTGCAGAGAAGCCGGGCCCCCCAGCAGCATCCGGCTGCTGGACGTCTGGGGCTGCAACGCTGCCCTGGAGTGGACGCCGCCCCAGGACACAGGCAACACGGAGCTCCTGGGCTACACGGTGCAGAAGGCCGACAGGAAGACAGGGGTGAGCCCCCTGGGGCGGAGTCGGGGAGGGGACTCCTGCTCAAATGAAGGTGGTAGTTCAGTAGGCCCCAGGCCAGGGCTGAGGACTCAGAGGCTGGTTCTGCGTTCTCGGGCCCTCAGGCCGCACTCTGGGTGTGAGGCACAGGACCCTCTGAGGACCCCAGACAGGTCACCTGAATGCCCCAGGGGCCCCTTCCCCCAGCTGAAAGTCCCTCTTCCCAAGACTTCAGCCCCCGGGCTGGATGAGCAGGGGAGCAGGGAGGGCGAGGGCGGGCTGACAGCCCGGGTCACGGGACCGGTCCCCGCAGCAATGGTTCACCGTGCTGGAGCGCTACCACCCGACCACCTGCACCGTCTCCGACCTCGTCGTGGGCAACTCGTACTCCTTCCGAGTCTTCTCGGAAAACCTGTGTGGACTCAGCGCCTCGGCCGCGGTCACCAAGGAGCTTGCCCACATCCAGAAGGCAGGTGGGTCTGGGCCGGGGCCTGGACCAGGAGGCGAGCCGGGCTGACCCTCTGTCCCCACCTCTGTCCCCAGCTGTCCCCAGGTCTGCCAGCTGCCCTGCCTGAGGGCTGCTCAGGGGTGCTGCTCCCTGGACGGTGCCACCCTGTCCAAACCCACGTACACCATGCACAGACACACGCCCACGCACAGCTATGCACACGCACACGCATGCACACACCATTGCAGAGAGATGGACGAGGCGGGCTGCTTGAACGAGCACACCAGGGCACCGCCTTGCCCACAGGAACTGTCCCTTGGGAGACTGTGTCTTTATTCTGTAGCCGCCAACATCAGAGCAGCCACTGGGCCTTCAGGTGCGCAGTCCCGGCGCCAGCACAACAGGCAGTGGGCGGGGTGGGGTGGGGGGGACTCTGGCCAGTTTGTTGAAAGGGCAAAGCCCCCAACCCTAACACAGCACCATGGAGACGGTCAGAGAGATGTGGCGTTTATTGTCTCCCACGGGCCCGGGCCCTCAGTCACACGCAAAGTCCCGCGCCCCCGCCCCCCTCCCTGTGGGCCCCCAGGCCCTCCCCCACGCAGAGTCCACGCCGGCTCCAGGGGCCACACCCTTTCTAACACCAGCCTGAGCCGCACAGAATTAGGGAGAAATTTTTATTGAAAAAAGGAAAGCCAGTCAGCTCTCCAAAGACAACGGAAATGAAATGCAGTGTCTCTGATCTGCTGGTCTCCACCTCAGCCAAGATCACCTCCTCTCTCTGCTCCTGTCCCCGGCCCACCTGGGTCCCAGCTGCCCTCTGCCTCTTTGAGACCTTCTGTCTCCAAGTGCCCGCCTGCTGGCCACGCCTGGCGCCCCAGCCGTCCCACCTCTAGAGGCCGAGGCCTTTCTGCAGGCCACCAGCGCATGGCCCAGAGAGACATTCTCCGCAGAAGACACCTACATGGGAACTTGGTGACTGCTTTAGGAGAAGGGTCTCCTCCTGGAACCTCAGATTCACTCCATTTTCTCCCCTGAACCCAGATATTGCTGCCAAACTTAAAAGGTTTGTTGCAAGAGACTTCTCAGAAGCCCCCCTCATTCACCCAGCCCCTGGTCGACCACACCACCACCCCTGGCTACAGCACCCAGCTCTCCTGCAGTGTCCGAGCTTCGCCCAAGGTGAGGCCTGGGGAGGGGCAGGCAGGCTGAGGACTCTGGCCCGGCGTCTCCGCCCAAGTCTGAGGACGGCCTTGGAGGCCGAGACCCAGCCCACAACCGCCGGCCTCCCTGTGACCATGTCTCCCCAGCCCAAGATCATCTGGATGAAAAACAACATGAACATCCAGGGGGACCCCAAATACCGCGCCTTCTCCGAGCAAGGCGTCTGCACCCTGGAGATCCGGAAACCCAGCCCCTTTGACTCTGGGGTCTACACCTGCAAGGCCGTCAACGCGCTCGGGGAGGCAACCGCAGACTGCCGGCTGGAGGTCAAAGGTGAGGGCTGAAGGAGGGTCTCTCCTCTGGGGCCTGTCAGGGGGTGAGCAGGAGACGCCCCCCGCCCCTCCTGCTGGGCTAGAGGAGGCTGAGCCTTGAGAGGTGAGGTGAGGCTGAGGGGTGGTGAGACCACCGAGGCCCGGCTGCCAGGAAGGCGGCCCAGGGTGGGCAGAGGGGCTAAGAGTCCCCCCGGGCTGTAGCCATGAGCCCCTCTGGCTCCTCGCTGCCAATCTGGCCCCCAGAGGACCCCTCTCCCCGACCCAACTCTAACACTCAGTGTCTCTCCCAGCCGCAGCCACACACTGAACAGCGCTGGAGGAGGCTGTGGTGAGGACACAGGTAACAAGCTGGGGCCCCCGGGGACACCAGGGAGCTGGCAGGCAGGGCCCTGCTGGGGAGGCAGTGACTCGCTGCAGGGCTTGGTCCTGGCTCTGAGTGACCTGAGGCCAGGGTGTCTCTTGGACCTGTGTCTCGTCAGGGAAGTATGGCCAAGGACCTTCCCTGCTTCCCCTGCAAGGTGCTCCTGAGGCTCCGGCACAGAAGAAGTGGGCAAAGCTCAGATCGGGAAGGAGAGAGGGGCCACTTCCCCCGAGAGAGCTCATGACGCACGTCCTCTGCCAGGTGCTCTAGGCCTGAGGGGTCAGGGCCACCAGGCCGAAAATCAAGCTCCTCGGATGCCCCACACCCGTTTCCAAAGTGACAGCTGACCGCTCTGCTCCCCAGCTCCAGCCCAGCCTCCCTCCCCCGAGGCTGGAGCCCAGGACCCAGGAGGGGCCTGGTGGGCCCGGACCGGCTTCCCGGGCACCAGGGCCACGATCAGTTGGCAAAGAGCTGCAGGGCGGGCGCGAGGCACTCAAATAAAGGTGTGCACGTCGCCACTGGGTCTGCAGCAGCGATCTGTGACAGTGACCGTCGTCACAACGGGCCGGCGCCACATCCCTGCAAGGGGGTACTGAACTGTCACCAGAGGGGGTCTCCGCGCACAACACCTTGAGGAAGGTCTGGTGGAAGGGGACTCGAGACTTTGGGGGTGTCTGCCCGACGTGAGCTTTTTTGGGTTCTTATTTCTGCATTCAGGGCTTGCTGCCCCAGGGTAAGAATTGTGAGAACACACACACCCTTCTCTGGCCCCTCCTTCTCCGAGAGCCTCCACATGGCCCCGCTCCCCACTTCTGGGCCCCACTTTGCATCCCCTCCACCACCGAGGCTGTCGGTTGCCCCAGTATGGGGGTCCCAGTCTTTGATCAGTCAGGGTCCTCCCTGGGAGTCAGGGCACAGCCTGCCTCTGAGGGAGGGTGGGCCTGGAGTCTCTGATCACACGCAGAGTCCTGCCCCCCCACCCCCTGGACAAGGGGCTTCAGGTTTGGTAAAGGGTGCCCTTGACCAGACAACCTAAAATCCTCAACTCTGCAGCGGAGTCCCAAAGGCCCTGAAAACCAGGCCAAAAGCAGGGGGTGCTGCAGGCATTCAGAGGCCAGCAGCAGCTCCTCGCCCACACCCTCAGGAGGAGTCTCCTCTGGGCTGCCCCAGCCTGCTGTACCTCACCCCAGCAGGGTCCACAGTCAGCCACGTCCCTCGTGCGCCCCCTCCCCGGGCAGGCACGATGCTCCCACGAGTTGGCAGGTCTCCATCAGGCCCAGCAGCAGCAGCGGTGGGCGTCAGGAGAGTCCAGGCCCCTCCGTGAGCTGGTGGCCCAGAGGACAGGCAACCACAGTCCTGGCCGCTGCTGGGCACTCAGTGCTGCCACCTGGTGGCTGTGGGAAGCCCACAACACACTCCACACTTGCTCAGGGGCCTCTGAGCACCCCCCAGGGTCCAAAGGCTGGTGCAGAATAAAGCAGATATTAGAAGAGATTTCTCGACTTGCTGTTTCTGCCTCCTTCCCAAGTATAAGCCTAGGCTGCTCTGAGCAAGGGCGGCAGGCACCTGGGAGGCAGGGGCTGAGGATCCTCATTTCCGCCCCTCAGTGGCTTTGGCCACTTTCCCCTGAAGACAGAAGAGAAAAGCAAGGCCCTGCTCCCCTCCGTTGCTCCTCGCGCAGGGGACCCCTCCCCCTCCTGCAGCTTGGTCCTGGGGCCCCTGGGCCCCTACCGCTAAGACAGGGCCCCTGCCCCCCAGCCCCGCCCACGAGGCCTCTTTGTCGGAAGCCAGGGCTGCCCATGGGATGGCCAGGCACACGGGGAGGCAAAAGCCCCTTTCCTCCTCCCTCGGGTTACCCGCTCCTTCCCCCTGGACTGCCCCCCAACCCACTTCCAGACCCAGAGGCGCAGGACACCCCACGTCCCACAGCCAGGCCAGGGAAGGCTCCGGGAGACAAGCGGGATGGTGGGCAGGTGAGGACCGAGCTGAGGTGCTCCGGCCGTGGGCAGATGAAGCCTACTCATCTGGCCTGTCTTCCGGGGGGTCCTCATCCTTGGGGGGCGCCGGCTGGCCGCAGAAATAGTCATTCCAGATCTTGAGGAAGGTGACCCGGAACTTCTGGATGCGGAAGGCGTAGACAATGGGGTTCATGGCCGAGTTGCCGTGTGTGAGGAAGATGGCGATGTAGATGAGCAGGCTGGGCTTGTGGCAGGAGGGGCAGAAGAGGGTGATGCAGTTCAGGATGTGCAGGGGCAGCCAGCTCAGGGCGAACAGCAGGAGGATGAGGGCCAGCGACTTGGCGATCCGCAGCTCCTTCCCATAGTACTTCTGCGGGTCGCCGGTGGAGGACGCCACCTTCTTGTTGAGCTGGCGGCGGATCAGGTAGAAGACCTCCAGGTAGATGAGGACCATGAGCAGTAGGGGGGCAGCACCCAGACGAAGAAGTTGAAGTAGACCATGTACTCCATGCTGATGACCTTCTCGAACTCGCACCTGATCACGGGCTCGCCCACGCTGCCGTTGGCCTCCCAGGCCCGCTGCACCGCACGCAGGTTGTTCCAGCCGAACATGGGCGTCAGGCCCACCACGAAGGAGAGCAGCCAGCAGCCGGCGATGGCCACCGCCGCCCTGCGGGGCGTCACCACCGTCTTATACCTGCGGGGAGGACAGAGTGTCAGGCACCTGCCAGGCCGGCCCCGCCCCCAGGAGGCCCTGCCCGCTGGGGCCCAGGCTGTGGGGAGTGCGTGTCTGTGGCTAAAGCACCATGTTTTCAGGACCTAAGATTAAGGCCAGCTCAGCTCACCTCTCCCGGTGAACAAAGAAACCTTAACGGAAAGCAAAGAGCGCCCCTTAGGAGTTTTAATAGAGTCACCGCGGTGGAAGCTGCTTGGGCCCGTCACCCCCACCTGCGATCACATCACTGTTTCATAACAGACCTCGTTGGGGGTGGCAGGGGGAGCGTGGGCGGGTGAAGAAATGGAGGTTCAAAGCGGTCGCGTGAGCTGCCAGGGCCACCCCGTGCTCCCCAGCACACGTCCACACTGACCACACAGCCGCTGGCGAAGCAACCACCTTCCCCTCAGCCGACGCGACTCTCAGGAAGCACAGCAACCTCCTCCAGGCTCCGGCCGCTCTCCCGGACACCCCCCATCACCCGCCTCCTCCTCCCCCCTCCCCCTTCAGGGTCACTGCCCAGGGCTCATCTCCTGAGGGCTGGGTCTCGAGAACCAGCTCTGCACACCCAGACGACCTGGGAATGTTCTCAGGAAAGAGGCTCCGGATGCCCACGGAGCCTCTGCCCCGTGCGGGGCGCCCTTGGCCGAGGACACCGCCGTGGGCAGTGGGTCCCAGGCCCACCCTCTGCAGGGGCAAGATACGGTCCTGCCCTGTGAGGCTCATGTTTTTCGAGAAGTCTCAGATGACACCAAAGGAAGGACATAACTTGACAAGACGACTACAGGTTGTCCTGTGTCCTTGGAAGGAAATGCAAGGGACACTATCCAAGGACAGGGCTGCCGAGCTTTTCGTGCCGTGCGTGACACACAGACGGCGGAAGCTCCAGAAGACATGAAAACCAGTGAGGCGCCCACGGCCAGTGATGGCCCTGCGTGAGGAAGGGCTGAGAGTCTCCACGTCCCCACTTCCCACTAAGCAAACCCTGCCAGCGGCCAGCGCGTACTCAGGCCACACTCGGGCCTCACACACGGAGCTGCTCGGCCAGCAGCCACCGGTCACTGTCTCCCAGCACTCCTCCCTCCAGCTGCTGCCCCTGCCCCTGCCCACGGGCCCTTCACAGAGACAGCCCCTAGGTTCCTCTCCTCCCGGACGCCTTTCCTTCCACTGGTGCCCACTGCCCCGGGAAGGCTTCACAGAATCGGAAGGGGCACCGTGGGGGCGGGACAAGCCAGGTCCCCTCCCTGCCCCACATACAAGGCCGGTGAGCCGGACGGGGCCTCGGGAACCTCCTTTCCAGTTTCCCTACCTTTCCAGCCGGGCACTGAGGGAGCCCCCGTGGTCCCCACACCCACGGTGTTGGCGGCCCGCCCCGCCCCTGTGAGCCTTCCTGAGCCTCTCTTCATCCAAACCCTTGTTTGCTGCAGTGACTGAAGCCCAGACCCTCCTGCCAGATCCCTGGCAAGAGAGCCAGCTCGCTGCACATGCTGGAACCAGAGACTGGACAAAGTCCTGAGACTGACCAGAGCCCATGGGGCCCCTCAGCAAGGAGGACCAGGCAACACGTGGCCGCCTGTGCCTGGGCTCCCGCACCTCTAAGCCCCTTGAGACGTTCACAACCAGAAAACCTTGGGATGTCTGCATGCTCGGCAAACACCAGACCAGTGGCCCCTGGGGCCCCGCAATGTCCCCTGGAGCGGGCAGGCCCAGCAGGCCCAGCCGTGAGTCTAGGGGCCAGAACACAGGAGCCAGGCCACTCTGTGAGGGGAGGGAGCCGAGGGCCTCGGGCCCCAGGCCAGCCTCGGCTGCAGGGCCACACCCCATTTACTGCTCCTGGCCTTACACGTCCACGCCTCAGGGGACCCACAACAGGCTGGGAGGAGCCAACTCCACAGGGTGCAGATTCAAGGCCCGACAGCGGGCCAGCCTGAGTGCGCGGCTCCCGGCTCCAAGACCCGCCCTCCCTCAGGGCAGCGGGCTCGCCGTGGGGCATTTGGACACGAGATGGCTGGCAAGCTGGGAACGGAACGTCAGTCTCCTACGGGCTTGAAACAAAACCATCTGGACCCAGTTCAGACGTGTGGGGGCAATGATGGCGCCCTGGGAGTGGAGTGGGTACCGACCGTCTCTCAGGTGGGAGACGGCAGCGACTTGCAGCTGGGGAGGTGACCCTCCCCTCCTCCGGTCCGGCCTGACTCCCAGGAGCCCCCGGGTCACAGTGTCCCTGGGGCTCCTCCAGGCTGGGTCCCAGCAGACCCTGCAGCTCAGGGTATCAGCTCCCATCTGTTTTTCTTGCTATTTTCTCCACGGTGGGAAAGGCTGGACGCAGGACCGTGGCTGAGGGAGGGCAGGATGTCACAGGAAGGGCCAGGCAGGGGCCCACCTTGTCCTCACGCCAGAGAGAACAGTGGACACTGCGCATCCTGGGTGCGCACGGGGTGGGGTATGTTGCGTACGCCTCCAACATTCGGGGTGCCCCTCCCAAATGGGGCTCAAGGCCTCACCACCTCCACAGCTGCACTGGGAACTACCAGCAAGGCGGCTGCCCTGGGGGGGCAGTCTAAGATTGATATGGGTTGGGGGCGCAGAGGGGGCGTCCGTGCAGGCAGTGGTGCTGCAAGGGGGAAGCTCCTGAAGGACGTCACTGAAGGGACCAGCCACACCCCACCTCCAGAGCCTGCCCCCCGGGGGGCTAAGCCCCACCCACCACAGGAGAGACAACCCTTTGGGTGTGGGGCCTCCTCTGTGTGCAAAGGTAACAGCTCCAAGATACGGCTCCAAGTAACCCATTAGTCAGTATCTTCTGCTGGCGACAGTGGTGTGGTGGCCTGGGGTGTCGGGGGCAGTGGAGGGCACAGACTCTCCGAGGGAGAGGCAGGGGCTGAAGAAAAGGCGGACGGGGTCCCTGCTGCCGAGAGCGAGTGTTTGCCAACCTGCCTGGCGCCACAGCGAGGGAGCACAGGCCGTTCAGAGGTGCCAGAGAGATGAAGGCTACAGTCCTTGGATCTGAATCGGGCCAGGAGAGGGCGCTCTGGAGGCTAAGGGAGGGGCGGAACAGTCACAGCCTGATGGCTATAACAAGTGAAAAATAAAATCTGTTCCACGACAAACTGAGATGATTCAGTCAATCCCACGTGAGGACGGAGAGGCAGAGGCTGCAGCAGGGGCTCAGTTAGAGAAGGTCAGTGTGAAGGCGGAGCCAGGGCCCCGGGAGTAGCAGGGAGCCCACTGCCGAGTCAGGAACCACGGGTCCCTGCGCAGGTCCTGCCACCTAAGGCTGCTCTGAGGAGGACCCCTACAGAGGTGCGAGCCAGTGCCCCCGGGCCACCAGCCGGCTCCAGCGGGTCCAGGCAGGTCCGGGCGGGGCGGCCAGAGCCCCATGCTGCCCCAGCGCAGTGTGGGACTGCGGAGGCTCTTGGCCAGATGTAGTCCCAGCCCCCCACACTGGACCCTTCCAGTCCACAGTCCAGAGAAGCCGGGACTCCATCCCAGGCCAGGTCCCAGCAGGGGCCGTGAGCATGTGCCCGAGCTCCCCACCTGTCCTTTGCCTCGTGAATAGGCCCCTTTCATGGATGAGGTCACTTCCAGTGGGGGGCCCACCGGGCGTAGAGCAGAACCTCTCCCTGCCTGCCGCTTCAGCGCAGGCCCCTCCGGAACACGGCGGGACTGGCGCCCGGGCTCACTCTGAGGACTCAGCTGCAGGATCCTCACACAGGAAAGGCTGGGAAGGCCGGCAGGTGCCACACGGGCCGAGGGGCCTGGGCAGGAAAGGGTGTCGGGAGTGACGGGAGACTGGGCCCTGAAGCCCCACTCTGCCTCATGGGGGTCTTTCCCGAGCTCCCGAGTCAGCTGGGTCCCCGGGAGGCACTGCAGTGCCAGAAGGGGGAGGACAGAGCCAGGGTGCTTCCTCCCCCGTCACCAACCCCCATGGGTGTTGGGCAGGAGTTCTGTCTCCTCCTTGGCTCCCCCACCCACAGACAGACCCCCACAGTCAAGGGGCGGCCAGCTCTGGGCCCCCAGCCCAGGGTGGGGGTTGCTTGCTGTGGTTGCTGGTCTCTGGGTGACCTCCATGTCAAGTGGTTCACCCCCTGGGTGCCCAGATTCTGGCAGGAAAGGCCTTCCACTGCAAGCCCCTGGCTGACTTCCGTGCTCCCAGTGGCCCAGGAGTGGCACCAGAGCAGGAAGAATGGAGCGTGGCCATCAGGAGAGCACTGACCGGCCTCTTAACACACGCGTGTCGACTCGGAAGGACACAGACAGACTCCACATGCTGGGCTAGGAAGGCGTGGCTACACCTAAAGGCAGGGTGGTGGTGTCCGGCCCACTGCTGACACCCGGGCAGGGTCCCCCAGCCAGACGTCCACATCCCTGCCACAGGCTCCTCACTCGGGTCCCGGGCCCGGTGCTGGGCGGGGGGCCAGGGGGCTCAGCACCCTCTGCGGTCATGCCCCTGAGATGGCTGAACCCCATTCCCACGGGGCTGAGGAGGGCATTTCGTGGCTGTGGTCCCCTCCTCCCTGCCTCCTTTCTCAGGCACTTGTAACTGGAAACTTGGATCCCAAGACCAGGGAAGTAAGGTTTTCAGACTATTAAACTGCTTCCTGCAGAGAAAGTCTTCCTCCCAGAGGAGAACAGGAAACCAGATATGATCATTCCAGGGGCCAAAGATGTAACAGTAATTTTACCCAGAGGAGTCTGGAGGAAAGGCCAGGTGGGGCCCCGGAGCCCAGGACGTCTGGGTCCTAATGACCCTGCTTTGAATCTTGCTGCTTTGCGGCCTGTGGCATCGCCCACCAGCTGGGACCATGGTGTCCCACGTCCCCAAAGGGGGCGTCCGGGCCCACGGCCAGCCTGCAGAGCTGCTGGGGGAGGGGGAACCCTGCGCTCTGAGAGAAAGGAGCCAAGTGAGTCCACTGGGTAATTAGCGTTATGAGCTTCGGAAAGTGCTGCTGGGCACTCTGAGGACCCTCCCTGCCTCCGGA